ACCAACTCACAGTATCGTATCAACTACCATTACATGATGCAGAACAAGGTTAGGCTAGAGAAGGAACAATATATTTAATATGAATAGAAGATACAAGGTAACATTCAGAGGGACCACGCCTGCATGGTCGAGCCATGCCATCCGATCAACTCCAATCCATTCAATTCATTGTTCGCGCCTACTCCATCGTTAGGTATTTCTCCGCGTTAAATATTGAATATCTATTTTCCGAGCTGTTTCGTGTTCAGCTTTGAGGATTGTTTGGTTATGGTCCAATACCACTACACTACTCTCCCACCAGAATCAACGTGGTGTTGGTTCGATACCAAATTGAATGGGATTGTCGCGCGCCGGAGGTTACCAAGAATAGGTAGAATCCTCCGGGTATTGATAAGCTGAAAGATAAATTAAAGAAGAGGCGGCAGCATCTGGTCGAGAAATACATGTAATAATTTTAAAATATGTGCCTTCATGCTTAACACGCTTAAAATGAAAATTTGGGTGAACATTATCTGAGCAATAAAAAGTGGGATTACAATAATAATAATAAAACGATGCGTATTAATAGCCGTTGGTTAATAACCTAACTCATAGGTAGTAAGTATTTTGTATTTAGAAATATTAAAAACAATCAGTATTGTAGAAATGTATTAGTTTTGGTTTAAATTATAAAATCAAATAACGATTATGCCGGTAACCTGTCCGTATGGGTTGATTTCCAATTGCATCTGTACTAGTAGGCTAACTGAAGGAACAAAAGTATTACCGTGGAGAAGAATTCCAACTAGTGTTCCAGTTAGTTTGATACGGTTTATTTAGTTACGGCGAGATTTTCTCAACCTCATTTTTACTTGACCGTGATAGAATTTATTAATACTACTAATACGCATGAATGGTTATCAAGACAAAATTCAAATACGTGAGTGATAATTATATGAGTTTTGGACAGATAGCTAAGAACAAATCGTTAAACATGAATGTATTCGTAAGAGACATGCTCTAGACTCAATGTTCTGCGTTGCCATAGACTATTTATTTCTATTTATACCTCTTGGCTGACTGGGCATACAAGTTAGTTGTAAGTATGCCGTTTATCATAAGGCGGAATACGATTTAATTGAGATAGTGGTTATAAGTTATTGAAATCAGTTAAGCCCATGTGTCATATTACTAAGTGATGTGGTGCTGCAAGATGTAATTAGCTAAATAAGTTTTTACAAGATGATTAATAGTGAGTGATGCTCATGTGATTATCCGGGAGAACATAAGTTGCAACCAAGGCGAGTATACTCCCAACTCACGTTTATGATAATAGCTTGAACCTTAGTCAGTGTTGGAGTAAATTCGACATTGATGTTTTCAGTTTGCAGGAGATTTGCTCGACTGCTTATACTGATTATTTGCATGCATGGTTGTGTAGCTAAACCTCTAATTAGACTGACAAGGATTCGAGGTATTTACTGAATGAGCAACTGATAAAGAAACATACTGTAATCATCTGCAATGGATGAAGATACCGAGAAAACACTCTTTAATGATAATTATAAGTCAATTTTCTGACCGATTTTGTTAATAGTTTCATTAATATTATCAATCATATTACGTGATTGTCAAGTCATGACAATGCTTTATGACGATATCCTAAAATTATCATGTTTAACTAGTTATAGTGTTGATTGAGGATTAGTCAGTGGAAAAATAGGTATTGTTGCTTTAGGTGATTCATAATTATCAGAAATTTATAACGTTAAAGAGTCTGAGACGCCCAATTTAATTATAAATTTCAATTCAAAAATATACTTCTAGTGTTAATTTTAGTAGTAGGTTCCCGAGTTTTGATTTTAAATCTTTGTTTAGCCGAAGGGTTTAGTTATTATACTAGTGCATTATGACAGTACGTACATGGGGATATAAAGCAACGCATCTAAGGACCTGGTTAACATGAAGGTTGTTGAGACATATGACAAATTAAAAATAATAAACATGACCAGATAAATAATTTTAAAGTTAAGACTGCTTATGAAACTTCAGGCAGGAATATGACGCGTTATAAACATTCCCTAAGAAGTTACTGCATTTAGCCTAGGGACACTTACAACTATATGGCAAAAGCAACTGGAAAACATATACATGTTAAGTACAAAAAATCATTAAGTAAAATAGTTGAACTCGCCTGGGTTATTTTTGAAAATTAGATTATTCAGCGGACGACATATATAACGCCATTCATGAGTAGTAATGATCCAAAAGCATCCAGAACAAAACATTCAGTATGGCGATTAATTCTAGGGTGCTTGATGCTGTTGACGTTTTTGCCGCTTGCTCGAATCAGAACACGGTCTTTCACACCCAAGCATCAGAGCAACAACACAGCTCATTACTGAATGTTTTGTGTGGCCGAAAATCAACTCGGATGTTTAACGTTGGACACGTAACTGTCTCCAGTGTCAACGCAGTAAGACGCAGAAACACACCTCCAGTCCAATTGAGAAGTTCCCTATCCCTGAAAAACGCTTCCAGCACGTGCATTTAAATTTATTGGGGCCCCTGCCACCATCAAACTCTTTCACCCACATCCTTACTGCAGTAGACAGGTTTACTAGATGGGTCATAGCCTGCCCGATAAAAAACACTTCGGCAGAAACAGTCGCTTCAGTCTTCCTCGACCGCTGGATATCTAACTATGGAGTACCATCAATAATCACAACGGATCGTGGTCCCCAATTTCAATCTGTCCTTTTTCAGTTCACTAAACTTCTAGGGGTCAACCACATTAAAACCACAGCTTACTACCCAGCAGCTAATGGCTTGATCGAAAGGTTTCACCGACAACTGAAAAGCTCTCTGATGGCACAAAACGACATATCAAAATGGAGCGATGCATTACCTCTTGTACTCCTAGGTATCCGTTCAACCATCAAAGAAGACATAGGGTGTACAGCTGCTGAGTTAGTCTATGGTACAACACTCACATTACCAGGACAACTCGTAGACTCAAATCCAGCAACAGCAACAGACCCAAGCCGTTTCGCCAGCCAATCACCACAAACCATGGATAGAATCAAAGCCACACGGCCTCGGGAACATAACAACCGAGTGCAACTTGACAAAAACCTAGAAACATGAAAGTTTGTTTTCGTCCGTGTTGATGCCGTTAAAAAACCATTGAAGCGACCGTACGAAGGACCATACCAAGTAATCAAACGAACAAGCAAATACTTCGTTATCAACAAAAATGGGAACAAGGAGACAATTTCCATAGACAGAATAAAGCCAGCGTTCTACGAAGCACAGCACGACAAAGAAGATACCACTGCACTTAACCAACCCCTCCCAGCAACCACCACTAGATCAGACAAGGAAGAAAAACCGAGTAACAAACCTACTTGTTTAACACGTTCAGGCAGAGCTGTGAAAAAACCCAAACGCTACGTACATTTCGCCGAATAAAAAAAATCGAAAGAAACAATTATCGATGTACTATGCTATTAAATTCACCCGATTTTTCCAACAAAATCTATAATCTTTTTCCTCTTCTCACAGCGTACATAATCAATCATTTTTTCCACAATTATTCGTTTTGTCACACTTTTTTATCAAAAAATTTTTTGTTATAATAATAAACGGTAAACTCCATTTAATTATTCATTTATTGTACACAAAAATAAACAGTTCAAATTTTTCTTGTGGGTCATTAGCAGTTTTGCACATTATTATCATTGTTAGCCAAACAAGACATTAAATGACAGTGTTTTCATTTTTTTGTTGTTATGCTACATCTCTGCTATTTTCACATAATAACACACTGTATATTATTAACGTACATGTCATACTCATCTCCACATTTTTGTTGGTTATAACTGTAAATATTATTTTTCTATACATGTATATATCATATTCTTACATTTTGTTGTTGTTATTATAACCAGTGTTACCTCCGGACAATCTGGGGGGGGAGCTATGACTGACAAGCTTATTTTGTAAATAGTTATTATTATTATTTGTATTTATTTTGTCAATCTTTCATCGTATGTATATTTACTATTAAATGACTGTAACTGTTGTTTTAGTAAATGACCTTGAACACACTTTCCGTTGTGATACTGACATAGCGTGACATACTCTTGCTGGCTAACAAATACACTACTACTCACACATTCCTCGTTCTATCTTTGTTTGTGATTGAGTTAACTGAAGTCTAAATCAAATACTATCAACATTTATAGACTGTAATTGGAATATATCACATCCTACGTTGGATTATATCACTGGAGAGTTCGTCAACTCGCTTAGAACTACCATGCATTTATAACTGTGGATTTACTGTACCAGACTAAAGCTGAACACACATCGATTTGGGGAACTTAAGTAAAGTCTCAACTTTCTATTGTATTTGTAATTAACTTATATGTATTAGCATTACTATTGATCTTTAATAACTTTGTTGATACTTTTCAAGTTTATACATTGTCTGGTCCACCACAGTCCCAACAAGTACAGTGCTAACACGAAAATTACTCAAAAACGGTCGTGTGTGACCGACCTCAAGCAGTTGTCCCTTGGACACTACGGTCACGCTCTTATTTCACTAAGACCACCTTTTATCTAACTTCCTTTTCAGGTACTTCCAGAAGAACCCTTCCACAGTGTGAGCAATCGCAAAGTGATAACCGTCTTCATAATTCTAACAACACTTAAGATACGTACGGGATGTTACTTACTATTTATGAAGTAAAAAAAAGAATCAAGAAGATAGAAAAAACAACAAAAATAAAATCAACAATTAATTTAATTCAATTCATTAATTGTTTTTTAACAATTATCTAAATAAAATTTAAAGAAGAAATTAACATGTGATCATTAGGCTTAAAAGTTCAAAATAGGAAATTGTATACAATATAGTGAATAAAATAACTTTTATCTTTAAGAGTTCATTATAATACAACTATATAATACATTATTCTCATATAATAATTATCAAATCCAACTTTTTTTTATATTTATTTAGATATACAAGCTTTACGATAAAGTTCTCTAAATGTTTTCAGATCATTAAATAGTTCATCAGCAGTATATTTTGCTTGATCTAAAGCAAGATAATTAGCAACCTATTGTCAATAGAAGCATTAAAAAGAAGAAAAAAAAAGAAATGTAAATACATAAATAACATAAAAATATTGTTCCATTCACTATAAATAAGATTATGGAAACTAGAGTATGCTAAGAGATGGTAGAATCATATTCTTTTGCTTTTTTTTAGGAATCAGTGATGAGCATTGTTGCATTTAAAACATTACCAAACAGTATCTACTAAATAAGAACTTTCGTTTAAATTTGAACGAATAGTTTCACAATATTTGAGCGCCGAGTTAATGTGAGTCATTAAAGAGGAATAATATATATTTGTAAAATCTCAACGAAAGAATTTGAAGTAATTCCAACGTTTCGCCTGGCAATCTGGTCCAAGCTTTTCAAGGAAAATATAATCAAACAACAAAATTATCGAATATAAATAGGTACATGGTTCTTCGGTATACTGTATACTGAATAAGTCATCCAATCAACGTGAAGGATTTTATAAATAGGTATTTGCATCAATGTGTAAGAGACATGTTTATATGAAAATAATAAAGGTCGACTAAATAAAAGTTCAATTAAAAAATAATCAAGGGAAGAGAAAGAATAAAGAATTTTCACAGATTGAAATCATGAGTCAGTTGAAGCTAGACCACCATTGAAAACCTGGAAGCGCTGGACAGCCGTTTCTTCCTAGTATGGGACTCCTCAGCAGTGCGCATCCATGATCCCGCAACCCCGAGGGATTCGGACCCAGGACCTACTGGCTTCGCGCGCGAGCACTTAACCATTAGACCACTGAGCCGGCATCCAACGGTGTTAATGTCTAACTTCAACCAAACCACGAAGTTGCGCCACCAAGAGTAATCCCATACTAGGACGAAACGGCCGTCCAGTGCTTCCAGATTTTCAATGGTGGTCTAGCTTCAACTGACTCATGATTTCAATCTGTGAAAATTTCTAAAATCTCCACAAACCCCTTCTGAGAATAAGGAATTGTCGTGTTATCCCAGGCCATAGAATGACTTAAGGATTACAAGGTAAATTCAAGGTTAAGACAAACGTGTTGTTGTACACATAAGGACAGGGCATGTGATATGAAACGAAAAAGTGTTAAGATAACAGAATGTGTGTATACGTAAGTGATGTGATGACATTTTGACAACATTTTGTAATAAAACCATAAAATAAAGTTTCGACATTTAGTGTTAACATTGTATTCACTCAATTCATCCGTAAATTAATCACAATATAATATAGAACGCTTATGAAAACATACTACTTAAAAATAAGAGCAAAGGTCTGGTGAACAGTAAACTATTCGTTCTTACTACAAGGATGTGATACGAAAAAGACAATGCATAAAATAAGAAAGAAACAGCTTATTAATATAAAAAACAATACAACTGGAAGTGATCTGAAATAGATCAGTTTCATTCAATCAAAACTGTTAAAATAAACAAATTACTACTTTTATCACTATTTGCTCATAGCTTGTTTTTGCTTTTACAACCTGAAGAAAGTATCACACAATTACATCGACAAAATATCACTTAAAAGAACCAAAAGAGCGATGAAATTTATTTTCATGTACACTAATATGTACACTAATATTTATATGAATGATTTATAACAATGAAATAATACTCATAGAGTAGCTGCATTACGTAACTAGACTGAATACAAGAAAATGGTATTCTTTAGTCAATCTGTTCTTCGATAAATAAACTATCCAGAATGATAAGATTTATTATTTCCATATTTTATTCTGAATTTACACATAAAGATGAAGTCATCTGAACGTTAAATAACCTGGTAGTTCAATATTGCTACTACTAATAATAAAAATAATAACAGCTATATTCACTAACGTAAATTCTATTACTGCAAGTAGATATCAATTGGTAAAACATTTATTTATGAAATACATTCAAATTGCAACTACTCAAAAGTATTTTAGAAATATTTCCAAAAGCCGGAATGAACAACTCATCTTAAAATACGAATAGGTGAATGAAAAACAAATCATATTGTACCATGAGCTGAATATAATGCTAATGTTAACTCACCCATATAGAGCACTAATATAAACCACCACCTTATATCTCAGCATAGTGCATTTAATGTTGAGTTATCTAGACTAATGGCCACGTTGCATATTGATCGATAGAATTCAATTAGCACTAAGGTGATTTTGACATATGTGACATTGGTTACTACGCGGTGACCAATCTGTTGTAAATACATCTCAATTTTACAGAAGGTAGGCGATAACTCGGATTTCTCAGTGGTAACGTGACTGATTGTGTAGCTGGGTGACATGGGATTGAATATTCTGGGGAGCATTATTCCTCTAAAGATTACAGGTACACCTTGCTGAGGAGTGTCAAATAGCCCGAAACTTAGTTCCGCGGTTTTTTGTCGACTACCACCAACCACCGCCTTGATATAAACTAAGTTGGAAACCAGAGCCACATTTACCAAAGTGGATTTTTTAGTTTATTTGCATTTAATATTTCCGACATCTTCACCATACTACATCCTGTTCAAGGGTGTTAAATATAAAACTCCAAACTATTAAGAATGTCGGAAATGGTTCTCTCCACAGAATTTTTATTTTATTCTTAATCTTTCTTTAAACATCTTTCTATTAAAGCTTGAGTATTCTCTTTTCATCCTCTCAAGAATTCTGGGCTACATGCCCTTATTTTTTTTGAGTACTTTAAAATACACACAATTCTTTTACTATGCTAATGAAAACCATCGAGTGTATTGATGATGTGTAGTAAGCCTTATTTGAGAAACGGTAGACTAATGAGTGCCTATTTCTTTACTAATTCATGATTTTCTGAAGTGAAAATACATAAGATCTGTTTAAATTACAGAGTTACAGTAATTCAGTTCGTTATTATGTTTCAAAGCAAGTTCGAAGTTATAGTGAAAAGTAACAGTTCTTATGAACATAATGTTGTTAAGTCGGAAGCATACGCAGGTAAATATCTAATAGGTTGAGAAAAGTATTCCGTGTTCTAACAGTTTTGTATGGAACGAGGACTACAAACAATTTAAACTGGTTGTTTTATGATAAAAACATCCTAATAGTTTGAACAGTGATGAATTAATATACGAATGAAATGTAAACACAGTCGCTAACAAATTTATTAAAGCTAAATTATTAAGTATAACTTTCAGGGTAAAATTATATTTAATGTGAATCGTAGAAATACATACCTCGTTATATCTTTCGGTAAACGTTTTGTGTAATTCGTTCAGTAACTTTAATTCTTGCATTGCATGAGCTAAAAATTGTCCCACCACTAAACCAAAAGATAAATTTGCTTTAAAAGCATTTGACTTGGGATCTGAATTAGATTTGATAACCCATTCCGTGTTGTTTGAATTTGCAACTCCACCAACTCCTCTTAAATCTATTTCTAAACGAGCAACGTCACGTTTCGTTTCGACCAGTTTCTCTTCAATTGTTTTTGCGCAGTATAAACTTTGTGCAGCATCTAATGTAGGCATTTCGTTAGACCATGAATGAGCTTCCTCAGTAAAACTATGAGATATCAAAGGAAGTTGAATATTTATGTATCTATGTGTCTTACAATCATTTGAAAATTCTATAAAAATGTGCCTACTTTATACATCGCTATATCAATTTTTTAAAAAACTTTACTGCCAAGTTACTTTCAATAAATATGAAGTACGATGAGAAGTAAGAATTTCTGACTTAATACTATTTCACTCTTTAAATATCCATCAGACCAAAAACATATCAATAATTAGATATCTTTGTAAATTAATAAAACTCGATCTCCACTAGTAGACAAGCATGAAATCAGTTGATCACTGAGTGATAACCGATCTGAATATTTCAGTCCCTCAAGACTAGAGGTTCGCCTTGCCAAGTAATATGAGACATAGGTCTAGGGTACCCTCCTGACTGCCTTCTATCCCCGAACATCGAAAAACATTAAGAAAAAGGAGGCATTAGGCAGTTGTTCCATTCTAACAAAAGATTTGCCGGCACAATTTATACTAAAGTTTTATTGTTATCCGATCGATACTAGTTTATTATTAAAACGTTGAAAAAACGTAAGTTCATCAGCTTGAAATTTTTTCTCCACAGCTCTATTACTCAATTTATGTAAATTTAAGCCTTCACTATTGAAGTCTACGACTGTAACCGTATGATCATAATGATGACGGACAGAACTTTCCTGCTTATTCATTATATATATATATATATATATATATATATATATATATATATATATATATATATATTCGGATGTAGAAAAACGAAAAAAATAGAGTGACTTAGTTGCAAACTAAAATACAATTTTCAAAATAATGTTTTTCAGCATATTCCTTACTTGAGTTCCATTAATTCTACTAAATAATGGATTAAATTCCTTTGGTTAGTTATATCTCGAGTATCAGCTAGTCGGACTAGATTTCTGACTTCAAAACCAAGAAAAGGTTTGCGTTTTACGAATCCATGCGAAGCTGTTAGGCCTGAGTGAGTAGATGGTAACTGAGTAGATTCATTAACTGAGCATTGTCTAGTGGCATTTAAAGCATTAATCAAAGCTAGCGCACATGAAAGGACACGACAGAATGAATTAGAATGTCTTATCTCTAAAAGACATTTACATGCAGATGAAAGTGCCTGTTTTAAATGATCAACAGTTGTATCAAATTGGAGAAGCATGCGTAAAGCATGGAGATGAGCAGGTAGTCGATGGCGAAGTTGGGAAATCATGTAAAAGAGTTTCTCCGCTTCAATGAGATTCTACAAAAGGAAAAAAATCATATTTAAAAGTTTGATTGGTTAACAGAAGTTGTATGACGCATAATTAAACTACATCATTCAATGTCTCAGAAAGGATTGTCAGCATAAGTTAAATCTATCTACTAAATACAAATATATACAGCTTTCCGATCATTTTATTATGATTGTCTATGTAATTTAAGTACATTAATCTCTTACCGAGGTTTCCAACTGACATTCAGAAAGTTTTAATATGATGTCCATCTGAGGTGTAAAGTTGATTAGGGTATCTAACAAAGTGTCGGGCATCGACTGAAACGAGGTTGTACTAGTCAAGAAACTCGATTTATCTTCACTTTTATGTTTTGCATTTGGAAAGGATTTACTGCGACGAAGGTTAACTGTTGTCTTTAGTTCAATAATAGATCGAGCTACGTCCTCTGGATTTAAATGCGCTGATGCCATAGCTATGGCTATCGCCTGAGCTGCTTTCGCTGGCAATAGATCCAATGTTTGAGTACGAGAGGCAAGACTCTGAGATCCGAAACGTATTGATCTCCTTATGGACGTGTTTGCATTTGAATGTATTGATAATCGTTGGTTTTGATTAGTTTTTGAACCTGGGGTGTTGAATAAAGATGTTACAGTACTCCCACAGTCTATTTCCAGTTTATCTGATGACTAAAAAATAGTCAGAGAAAACAGAAACAGAATCAAAATAGACAAGAGCTTTCAAATACTTCGTGGAAAAATATCCACAGGATAAAAATGTAGTGAAAACTTTACATGATTTAATATAGTAGTGTTCATTAGTACATTTACCTATCTAACGAACATACCACACATTCTTATATATGGAGGTGCATTATAAATGAAGTTTACTTCAAAGTATATTTACATGGTGGTTGAGTAAACTACTTAGGTAATCGAGTATCAAGAAATAGTAATAATTTAGAGAAAAGAAGCTGTTCTACTTGAGAGGAAACTCAGAACAACAGATTTTGCACACCGAGTATCTAAATGAGTCAAAAATGGTTTTGCTGGACCACGAATATTTTATTTCTTCAAGATGCTGATGTTTTAAGGATGATTATTACTGACGGCAGGCCTTGTAAGGTTAGTTTGGTCAACCTCATTTTGCTAACAAATAATGTTAATTACAATGGCATTTCAAGCACATATTCTTTAATACTGAACTCAATATATTCTTGAAGGTCCTTAGCATCACAGTCCGGGAATTGGATTCTGTCGTACTTATGACTGGTCAATTGAATTACTTATATTTTAGCGTCGGCAACTTCACTAAGACTAAAATCTCACACACATATGTGATCTTTATAGAGCTAACCGAAGTTACATGTAGTAAACATATCATGACATAAATGAATTACAGTCTTAAGTTCACATAAACCATTTGAACAACTCATCAAAAAAACACTATTTACACGGTACTTTTAAACTTTTTCGGTGAAATGGTTTGACGAGAAAAAAAATTAAAAAAGAATGAAGATTAATCTGAACACTAACCATTGCTTTATTTCCTTTGATCCGAAATCTTCTATGAAGTTGACGGACGAATTCTTCACTCAATAAATCACTATCATCAATAAATACCCATACAGAATTTTCTTTCAAACGAGATTTGCTCAACTATTGTGAAAAGTAATTAATGTTTACATTGTTATTTTTTCGTAAAAAAAAGGCCATGAAGATTATACTGAAATTATATTTCAACAGTTAAGATCATGAGTCAATTGAAGATAGACAACCATGGAAAACCTGGAAGCACTAGACGGCCGTTTCGTCCTATTGTGGGACTCCTCAGCATTGCGCATACACGACCCTGCCTTCCGCGAGATTCGAACCCAGGACCCATTCTGAACTTATAATGTTCAGTTTGACAATGATATAGATCCAAGTGAAGAATTCATCACTTGGAAATATTTATAAGTATTTTTATGGTGGAAATCATTATCTTTTGGTTTGGTTCTTATTTATTATAAACGTGTATTACCTAAACAAGTGTGTTTATGTTGATGATATGAATTAATATGAAGCTTAGTGTATTCAAAAGTTGAATGTGATTCTTCGGAAAGTAGTAAAAATATGATTATTTATATCAATAGAAAATATACCTTTATGAATATAAAGTCTGGTTCAAAAAGACCGTAAAAATACAAACTTTGAAGTATTATAACAAATTAGTGCTTAGTAGTTCATTTTTTGTTTTACTTTCCATGGAGTGTTATGAAAGTCACATAGCAATTATAGGTTTATACACCAGAATTGAAATATACCTAATGAACACAAATATGAGAATTCATGCGACTACAGAAGTCAAAATTGTAATATGGAATTCCAGCTGGTGATCGAAAGGTTGAAATTCGCTTTTGTAACCGCTGATACAATAATTTATTTATCCAAATATGAACTAATGGAACACACTAATGAATCAGACTATTTAGTCTTATCCTTTCAGTTCATCGGCTTTTACGGTCTTGAATTACTTTTAACGCTGTAGGAATTCGGAAAGTTTATGAAAGACTTTAGACTTACTGGAGATACACAGGCCTTCTTCAGCCTAAACGGAGCAGAAAACGTTCTTTTCGGCTTCATATTGTATGGCATTGGGGATTCTGAGAAATAAAATGAAAATTATCGTTAAAATAATGCCATAAACTGTCAAAATTGTATATCAATCATGAGGGCCAAAACCTTTCTAGTTTCTTAATTCTCAAACCATAAATAAATCGATCGTCATTTAAATTAGAAAGAAATTGAAGCAATAGTTAAATCAATTAATTTAAGAAGGACCAAACATAGAGAATATGGTTTCGTAAGAAGGAGAAAACTTTAATCAGTAAAGCACAGTCGACGGGATTTTTATGGAGTATAATTTAATTTCATATTGAGTAAAGGAATTGCAAAGTGAAATATACTGAGAGTAAGTGACATGAAAATATCTATCCGAAAACTCAGATATGTGAGATGGTGGAGATTTGTAGCTCAGGTGAATAAATTAGGTGTAGTTTCCTTGATTTTGTGAGTTAGTGAGTTGTTGCTACTGTAGTTTGGAATTTCATTCTGTGTGGATTGGACATCGACATACTTGAGTCCCCGGTTTTCTTGCGCCAGTACTAGTCCTTAGTACATCCAAGGATAAAACTGCGAACAAACGTTATTCAAAAGGACAAGGACACAGTGCAACACACTTGCAGAGTAGAAAAATGAGGAAAAATATCTAAAGACTGTCTTTCAGAAGAATGACTACCCAATCAGCTTCATCAAAATATATCAACCAAACTCATCAGCAGAAACAAAATGAAGTACAAAAACCAACAAATGGATCATCCTACAATTCATAAAAGACATATCAGTAATTGCAACGAGATTACTGAAGCCTTTTGGAATAGATGTAGCACACAACCAACAAAATCATTTCAATCAATCCTATACAAACTAGAGGACGAAATTATAAATGTAAAACCTAACATCATCTACAAAATAAATTGTCCCAACTGCGAAAAACACTACATCGGAAAAAGTGGACTCTCCCTTCACCTTCGCCTTCCCGAACATCAATTAGTATTCAAACGCCATGGCATGTCTTTGCTTGTATCAATGCATGTAGACAACTGTGGACACACATTCGATTGGAAAAAAATGTTGAGATCTTAGATAGAAGCAATCTTAAAAACACCAGAGAATTTTTAGAAGCCTAGCACTCAGATCAATCAGTAATCAACAAACACATTGAAGTCGGTCTGATTTGTCAACCAATACAAAATCACGGACAAATACAAGACGGAAAAAAATCAATGGGAGATACAATCAAAATAAAGAATTAATTAATAACAGTTTAAAAATGAACAATTACCAATCAAGATCAAGGTCATTAAGACAAGCTGTGAGACATATGTGGAGAAATTCAAACACTTCACTTCTACCTGAAGTTTGTGCTGATGACGTTGTTCAGAAGAATAATCAAAGCATTACGACCAAACCATCTAGCTCAGAAAATGGGACTAAATCTTAACCCAGAAATTTCAAAGCAGATAAAAGTCTGAACAATAATAATACTTTCTACGCATGTTACGAGTAGTTAATCGACAGATATGAAACCAGTAGATGGATTATGTATGGATCATGTATTCCTTTTACTGAAGAAAACCTACTAGAACCATGTGATATTCTAAAGGAAACATGCTTGCAGTTATATTTTAACAAGAAAATATCATGAAAGACACTAGACGATATCCAGGCTTCAAATATTACATAAATGTTTACATCACATCCCACTGTGTTCATACTCACAAAAACATATGGATGTGTGATTTTATTATGTAATTAATGATGACTTAAATTGTTTTAAAATATTGTAGATTTAAACCGAATCCAAGTATCCGGTGAATGTAGGTGACGAATATTCATTAAAGGAAGTAAAAAGTTGACTAAAAACACCCTTTTTATAAATGACCAGGAGTGAGCAACCTAATTTTTCTCTTATACTTAACTTGGACTGACCTTTTTATTTCTCATATTAATATTTTAACAGGTTGATGTATGATAAGATTACTATTCAAAGCGTATTACGTTATATCATATAAATCAGGTGAACATTTTACTCCTCTTACGTCATCAAACAGAGTCACAATATGAACAAATGAGTTAAACTGAATACGTGTTTTGAATCGACCAAATTTGATAATAAATGAAAAAAATAAATACGAAAACAAGACAATCAACTTATGCGAATGAGTATTAGAAGAAACATAAATAAAACATTGTAAACATTTGACATATTGTTGTTAGTGAAAGGATTACTGAATTTAGGTCAAAATAGTTTGACAATATCTAAAGGACTAAAAAGTCCAACTTTTCAAAAAAGCATCAAAAAAGAAGTAGCTGTACATGGTACAATTCAAAATATCTAATGCTATAGAATTAAAAAAAACCTTAAACTAATCTTTTCAAAAATAAATTGCTAATACTTAAATATCTAGGAACTTTTTGAATGGCATACCGTACTACACTAATGACCTAATCATGATTACTTTCTAAGGATAAGTAAATATAGTACTAAACGAGTTCAAAATCATTCACTTTCCAAAACGTTTCTGCACTGAAAAGCTATATCCATTAATACAAAAAAAGTTAGTCCTTTCTCATATTCTTGTCACTTTTGTAAAATTTTGTTAATTATACGAACTATGTTAACATAAGATAACATACTTTTTCTGATAGTAAAGTATGATACACTTTGAAACACAAAGTAGATGTTAGTTGATTTTATGTCAAGTCATCTTTTTTATTTATTTTACTTTAAAACAAACATGGGATTACAAATTGAGATCCCAGGACCCAAACTTGAAACCGCAGATAAATGTAAATATGAAAAGACTATACATTGAAGGATTGATTACTTTCAAATATTTCTATACCACTACCACCATTACTACAACTATTACAAAAGTAGACAGTATTATACTTGGGAGATAAATACTTCATGTTTATCCGTAAAACTTTGAAATACGAAATGCTCATTTGTTCAACCTAAGTATCTTAGGTAGATAAGCTCTGAGAAAAATATACCAACACATTAAACTATACATTGTTGTCTTATACAAAACTACAGACCAGTAAATATTATTAAATAACACTAACCAGGTATAGTGTGAGCCAAAGAGCCTGAAGCTGATGAAACAGATGTGGGTGGCAGAAACATGGGTGGAGGTGGAGGTGGCGGCGGCGGTGGTGGTATTTTGAAGCATCCATTGTCGTAAGGTTGGTTAGATTTGTTTATTGGAGTTGTAAGCGGCTCAACATCATGGTGTTTATTGGGAGTATTCACAAAACTTTCATCATTCTTTTCTACAACTTCAGGTCTTCCAAGAGAATTTGGAGAATTCAATAAATTTGTGTTTTCTGACACGTAACCAGAAGAGTACTGTGAAGATGGTGATGGCTCGCTAGTATCATCTTTCATTTCCTTGAAGTAAAAAAGAATAAACGTTGAAACTTGCAGAAACTAACTTTTAATGAATATGAACTTATCACCAAATATAAACCAGTGTTGTAAGCAAGTATTAAGTGGGTTATAATTTGTAGGAAGGATCCCAGAGATTTCTTAATAATTAAGCTAGATTTAAATGTGAATATTTGTCATGTAAGTGATAACATGGTAACAATATTTTTAGTATAGTTGCGACTCCTATATGCATATACTCACGTATGCTATTTGTGTTAGATGCTAATTTGATTACATGAAATTCAAGATTCAGTAACTTCCATAGATTGATTCACTTTATGACATAATGTTAGTTAGATTTTAGTCAGTATTACTATCAATTTTCAACTTGTTCAGTAAATCGTGCTTTAATCTTTTCTTGTATGGGAACATATTTCGTGTTGTTAAAAAATTACAAATTAGATCATTCAGTACACTTTTATTTGAAAAGTAAACAAAGCGACTCAGATGTCATGACAATAAACGTTTTAAAACTAAGTTTAAAATACTAGTTAACAATCGAAACCATTAATAAAGTAGGAAGAACAAACACAAAAGCAGATGACCATGAAAAACAGTATTTATTTATTTGATGACGTATATTTATGTTCAACGAATGCATTGCATTAAATCCATCAGAACTTGATTGTGCATGGTAATAACATTATTTAGTAATATTCAGAAATAAATGTAACTGATACAATTAAATGTGAACACTTTCTAATGAATGTGCTTCTTGTAGTATTTTAATTTTGATTAGAATAAAAAAATATTTAACAATAGTAATATCATACTTCAGTTGATGTAGTCTGCTCTTCGATTAGTGATGTTTGTACGCATTTTTCTGAAGTTCTACATCCTTTCATTCGATTAACCGGTTCTTTTTCCAGTTCACGTATTTCAAGTATTCGGAATTTATTCATTAACTCCATATTCACATCATATTGAGCTAGCTGAACAAAATATTACATTGTATATATAAGTGAAAAGCATTTATGATATTAAGATTATTTATGAATTGTTTCTTTACCTGGTAGGGCATGCAATCATATGCTATACAATCATGAATATACTTTTCATAACAAAAAACAATAAGGAGAATTCTAATAAATGTAAATGTCTGAATTATAAGACATTATAGTATGGTCTGTATTTTTATGATATTCAATGGGTACTCATTAGACCATTTATACTTCATTTCAAGAAGCTTAAGAAAAGTTAACTAATTAATTGAGTTCCATCCCATTCAATATTGCACACTGTAATTCATGAAAATCAACTTAAATTAAATCTCTTCCTTGATTTAAATTTAGGCTTATACTAAAAAAATTCGAAACTTGCATATCTTTACTACAAATTAAGTATTTTACTTATTCTCTGTTATTTTATGTTTATCTAAATTACCGTATTCAAAACTACATTCATTTGTTAGAGTGTTGATCCATCCGTAGGAAAAACCTAAACAATCAAATTATACTATTTTATAAGACTATCTATTATTTGAAAAGGTTCTGATAGTCAGTACATTCCAAGCAATGAATAGAATGTCATGAATCTATGGATTTTTGTTTCACAAATTAAAACTATACTAAGCAATGTCAGTATGGTACTGGTATAATTGTTAAATTTGCATTATACATTACCAGTTGACATTATAAATCTTCAAAACATCATACAATTCAGCAAACCAAGTACAGTTTCGTACTTTTGTGACTCAATATATGATTCCAGTTAGATCAGACGAATGATTGTTATCGAGTGATTTCTGTAGAAATATACAACTTGGCTACCCTGGTATGTAATCATCAACCTAACTCGCGTTAGTGAATAACGGAATTAAATAAGTCCAATACGAGAATGAATTTCAAATACGTGTATTTCATACAATCATTGATCCAAACAGACGACCGCAGAAACGAATCGAAGAGAAGGGAGCGAAGCGAAACAACACTCAATGGAGAGGGCATGTGGGCCAACTAAATTTAGCCAAGCGTGCATCGACATTAATAGTTGAACAAAAATAAGTTACAGACACACAATGATTAAAATAAGTAGTTATCACACATATGATCATATAAAAAACAGTCAGGATTAATAAGTGAATAAGTCAAGGGTAAAAACATGGTATGAGAATAATGAATAAACTGATCTATCCAGAGGCTAGAATAACCTATGTGGGCTTGAAATACTATGAACTCCTACAGTACGACCAACTTCGACTTATACTCATTACATTAAAGGCATGTATACTATCTGTACAGTACAATTAAATTTCAACTTGTAAATATACTATACATCCTCTTACCTTGGTTTTTGGTGATATTTCTTGAGATCCAAATAAATATTTTGAATTTCGTACTAATTCAGTGGTGCACTTGCGGTTATGCATACTACTATAAAACCGATTTTGAGATGTACGTTGAAAGTATGGATTACACTTCATTGAATTTGTCTCTTTGTATGACTCAGGCTTTTCAAAATCGAAACTATAAAATAAATGAACTTATTACAAAGTGAATATTTTGAACTATCAGGAATTCCAAAAAGATAACTGAATAATTCTGTCTTGTTAGCGTTATCAAAAGTGTCAATGAAAAACACATTTGTGCATCAATGTACTTTAAATTATCTGGTAGAAATTATATAATCAAAAGTAAATTGTATTTGAATGAATGACAAGATTTTAGTAATAGAGAAGATCAGTTAGTGTATATAAGAAATCAACATTAAATATAAGTAATCACAAAATAACTGTATTTTGTAACAAACGAATGAAAAAATGCACTAGTCTAAAGTTTCAAAGAAATTACGGGAAAAGTGGTAGGGTAGCATTTGAATTAGTTGAACTGATTTAAATCTGCTAAGGTCTAAAGTGTTATTTTTTATTTGAACACATAAATATTGGTACAAGAGGGTATGTGTATGCGCCATACAAAACAATGAGAATTCGGAGAAAAAAAGGAGAAGGTAAGGAGCGCAAAAAACAGGATAACGAACTGATTAGTGTAAGGTAGTGTAGTAATAATAATAATGTGGGGAACAGAAACGTACAATCAGAAGAGATCTTTCAGTTAAGGAAGAATCAACCACTTTTTATGAAGAAAGTAAAAGAAGGTTACAGAAGGATCGCCACTGGCTTCTATTCTGAGCCATATCTGACAACGTCTCTACTCGAGAACGTTTAGATAGAGCCGAATTTCCACTATAGGCAAGCTGCTATATAAGTCGAATAATAAGGATAGTCAAAGTAAGAATAAAAGAGAGTGAATAAATAACGTAGTAAATAATAATAAGGCTCGGGGTGTGGCCCCCTAAGAAAACCACCTGCTTCGGTCTGGGCACCCGGCTAGTATTACAACCCACACACACACAAATATGCTGTGGAGCATATATATTTGGTGCCCTCTTGTACCAATATTTATGTGTTGAAATAATAATAATAAATAATAATAACAATGACAATAATAGTAATAATAATAATGTGAATCGGTTGATTGTTAATCGAAGCAAGAAAAGTATTTTCCATAATTATCAACAGTTCATCATATTTGTGTGTGGCCTGTGATACTGCCCGGGTGCCCAGATCAAGCCTGAAGTATTAACCTAGGTTTAAGTGAGGATATAATAATCTTACAAAGTGGTATCAACTAGGCCCATTTAAACAATCTTATTCTTTAGTTTTGTGTGAAAAAAAAACACTTGAAACTAAAAACGAAAACTAAATTTGAATAGAATTTATGTTAAATTATAACATCAGTCATTAGTAGGGAAATTTTGAAACCTATTCAGAAAATCCATTAGATTTTAATCTTAATAAACATGATAGAATATAAGAAGAAACATTCAGTAGTTTAAAATTATTTCCCATTATGTTAGATCATTTTCAACAATATAAAGAGTATTTCTATTAAAATAGTTAATGTTATGGTTACTGGATTGATAAATGGAATAGGAAAATGTTCATTGCCTTTTTCTAGTCTATAAATAAGGTGAATTCTTATTTTACAAGCATAAATATATTCTGAGAAAATAACCAGATGGTATGAAAATAAGTCATTTTATTGTCTTTTGATTGTATGTTATTATATTTGAAGTGAGATATTTTGCACTTTTATTGTTTATTAGTTTTATTCATTTTTAAATTTTTTTTTGGATTTCCACTTAATTGATACCATCTATAACTTCTTTTTTTGTTGTTGATTATCTTCCAGATTAGATTCAAGATGAATTTCCTGAAGTTCTAATGAGAAGTCGTGATTAGTGGAGTTCATCCATGTCTGTTGTAAGGAAGTAACTTACTGAAAACAATGGTGGATACGTTGTTCAATTTCGTCCATTAGTTGAATTTAGACATTAACACTATTGGATCCCGGCTCAATGGTCTAGAGGTTAAGCGTTTGTGTGCGAGACCGGAAACCTCGGATTCGAGTCCTGTGTGTGGGATTGTGGATGCGCACTGCTAAGGAACTTAGAAGGCTGTCCATTGCTTCCAAATTTCCAATGGTGTTTTATTATTTATCAGTTCATTATCTCATTAAATGAAATATAGTTAGATAATGGTAATCCTTTATTTAAAAATCTTGGCTTAAATATTCTAAAGAAGTGATTAATGCATTTTTCCAGATGTATGTAAATAACATCACAAAAAACTAGATTGAACATTGGGCTTCAAAATAACACTTAGAATCTGAACAGTACCTCCTGGTTTCTAACTATTTACCAGGTGTCTTCGTTTTCAAAGTTTAAAAAAACACAGTATTGTAGATCACCTACATAGATGATCTATATCGAACGACCGGAGACCTACTTAAGTTAGATGAGAATTATATGGCGAACCAACTAACTTCAAAGTTACACTTTGTAATCAACATATTATTATGTCACAGAATGTTATGAAGCAATTCATTATACGAATATAATCATTACACTTCTATAGAATAATTCATTTACTCCTTTTTTGTAAACGTTAGTTGTTAAGGCAAAGATGATTTAAATTTAAAATAATAATTCACATTCGTTAAACTTCAAAGAAAAAAAAACATATCACTTACTGTTTATTCTTTTCTTCTATTTCTTTAGTACATTTTAATGAATTCATATCATCTTTTGTTTTCCATTTAGATTCTCGAAATGATTTACTAAATCGTTTCGTAAATTTATTATGATTCTCATCCATATAAACATTGAGATTTGTTTTAGATTTTCGTATACTTAAATTAAATTTTCCAAATATATGTTTCCATTTTTTAGATGGATCTATTGTAATCTCATTGAATTCATATTTATCCATTTTAAGTTAACGAATAGTTTAATTGAATGAACTAAATAAATATTATTTCAAGTGATGAACACTCATAAAAAAAAACATTGATTACCGTTACAATTTAGACAAAATAAAGGGTAACCAACCAAATTAATTGGTTGTTGTTGATGTTGTTGTTGATGTTCTTCACATTCTCATTGATGATTACGAATTTGAATAGAAAATAGTGAATAAAGTGAGTAAACAGTATATATGTAGACATATTATTACGTAATACGGAATGGTTTCATTCAGACTAATAACTAGATGATTGCATAATATTTTTTCTTTAAAGATAAATTTTAAAAAATGAAAACGTTAAAAATTATATTTTAAAATTAAACTTACCAATGAGTCATTTCTAGTTATGAAAAGTTGATAATAAAGTGTATGATGAATCAATGGAATGGAATTTTTGTTGTTGGTGTTGGTGGTGGTGAAAACTAGTGAGGTTTGTATTATTGTAAATGTTGTCCTAAACATTTAAAATGAAATCAAATGTACGTACATATCTCAATAGTTGAGATCATGGATCAATTGAAGCTAGACTACCATGGAAAACCTGGAAGCATTGGATGACCGTTTTGTCCTATTGTGGAACTCCTCAACAGTGCTCCCCCTGCGAAGTTCAAACCCAGCACCTATTGGTCTCGCTCGCGAACGCTTTACCTCTAGACCACTGAGCCGGCTGGCATCCAATGATGTTAATGTCTAACTTCAACTAATCCACGAAATTGAGCGACACATCCACCACTGAGTTACTATCTCACAACATATGTTTATTATTAATAAGGAGAAGCTTTTGTTATGAAACATTTTTTCAAGAAGTGTGACTACAATTACGTATAAACGAATTGAGACAGTGATCATTTGAACTAATATTAGTTTTAAATTACCAAAACTTAACTACTATGACTTCAGTATTCATTACGAATACCTATTTAATCAGATTCCTTGTTGAAATTCGTTCCAAGAAAGGAAAATATATAATAAAGTGAAACCAACAAGAGAACCAGTGTAAGACAAGAACCATTTAACAAATATTCAGTTCATGTTTTACTTATATCAGTTTATAAATAGGTTTCATTATTTTCAGGTCTCTTTGAGATCACGGTGACATCCTAAGATCATGTTCTTCAATATTTAGAATTCTGTCCAAAGAGTCAGAATAAACCACTGAATGGCATTCAAAACACCCTTGTTTCATTTTACGATGGCAATATTAAACCTTCATATCACTTTTTTTTACTTTCATTCTCAACATCATTAAGTAATATTAACTACGGGAGCTGATTCATAAGAAGTAACGCTGAGACCAATGACAGTGATTTAAGACGGTAACACTAAGTGAATTATCGTCGTCACTATTTCTGAAACACATGGCCCTAGATTTCAAAATGCTTACATTGCATTATCGTTGACAGTAAATATTCCTTCTTAGAAACGGTTGTTCGAATAGGGGGAGTCATTGGTTAAAATCAGCTAGGATAGACTTGGTTCCAGTAGTATTGAGCAGAAATGTTCGGGTACACCGTGCAACCAAACGTTTACAACCAAAATAAATTAATGGTTGTACTGTTTCCTTTTCGTGTAAATATTATTGTCTTTCCTATGACTGGCACTCACAGAACTAGGCAAATACATAGAATCTTTAAATAGTTCTAACATCCCACTAAGAGAGGTGAATTCTAGCACAGGCTTTTGGTGGTTTCGTATTTAAATGATGAAAAGTATGAATCATACACATGGATAGTAATCGAGTGCTTCGGGTAACAAACTTGAGTAATTATCATTACAAGCGTCATTCAAACCTGTCTAGAGAATGCCATCGTTCGTAATGTCAAGAAGAAATAATAATTTTGAGCTGGATATTTTAAAGCAGGAAGGTAGGTGATTTTATCAGGTCCTTCTGCCTGAGGAGGTTTTGCAAATAAGTTTCAATGTTATGCTTATATTCTCCGACGCATTCTTTGCCCATAAAAAATATTTCATAGTATAGTTCTGTCTAACTAATCATAGTTATTCTGAATATCAAAAAATGTAATTACTGTTCGTTTGACATCCTAAAGAATATGACGGGGGATGCAAATATGCTCAATAAACTTACAAGATGGGCAAAAACCAGCCTGGTTCTTAAAAGTAAGTCACTATTTTTGACGGTCTTCTCAGTATGATGGAGGACACTATGTTCAGGGGTTTTGGATATTAACGACAGTTTCTGAATAGATGAGTAAGACAGCATATCTACAAAAGGATTTCATGTAGCAGCTAGTTAATAACATAAGACTCATTAGAGAAGACATAAATTTATACAGAGATTAGCTAGTAAGTTAAAAATTGAAGTGATGTAACATCTAATCAGAGAATAAATAAATATTATCAGTATAGGTATGCGGAGATTAAGCGTTAGCATGAGATTGGAGGTCTTGCGTTCGAGTCCCACATGCAGAATCGAGGATACGCATTGCTGAGGAGACCCATACAAAGATGAGGTGGCTGTCCATTGCTTTCAGGGTCTCAGTGTTGGTCTAACATTGATCGGTTCATGATTTCAATTGAATATTACTTTTCAAAACACACTTGTTGTTTAAAATAGTGTGAAGATTATATAGAGCATATTTTTGATCCATATACTGGTTGTCCAAACCTTCTAATTATTGTATAGGAGTGCGATCGATCGGTGTCTGAATTGAATCGTTCTCATCACATTGCACAAACTAGCGTTTATTTCGACTCAGTAATTAAATTGCTAACGCGATAGCATTCAAAACGAACGGTACCGAAATAAATATCAACTCTAGGATCCAGGTACACCCAGTTGATGAGTCCTAAATAGTGCGAAACGCTCATCCTGTATTCCATTGCTAGCCATTATACGTTTCTATTTAAAGTATGTTCTTTCATGCGTATATCTGTTCACTAATCGTATTCATGTCATCGTTATAAATCATTTTTCACGATGAGTTTGTAGAATGGAATAAAAATCTATCAAGATTTCTGTGACCAATTTGATTGTTGTTTATCTTAAGCTAAGTGATGTATTTCCATTAAAGAGATAAATTAAGGTATTCCTCTTTTCTATCTTCACAAGGTATTTGTTAGTTATGTTTATCACAACATATGGTCTAAAGAAAATGTTAGCTCCTATTTAAACTAATCATATTATGGTTAGAAACTGTCAGAATCACTATCTTTTTAGTAGGATATTTTCATCATTTTATTGATTTTGATTGTATTTCCTTTGAACATTGAATTAGGTATTATTATTATTATTATTATTACCATTACTATTCTTTTCACTATTTAATTAATATAGTTCACTTTATAAGTGAATAAAATTAAAGGTCACGTAAAGAACATTATTCACATAGTTATCGTTTGTAAGTATTATATTTATCTCTTATATTTAAGTTGTATAATGTATTTTCTTAGTTTGTATATTAATAATAACACGTACTTTCCATTAAAAAAAAAACAATAATAAAACTATCTTTGTGTATAACTATTGTTTATGTTTAAAGAAATATTGAAACATTGAACCAATGAATAATCACTTGATCAGTTGTTATGACAACTTAAATTACTGTTAAGTAAATTAGAATAATAAAAAGAATATTATAACATTCATCTTCTATATAAAGTCATGTTGATAATATTCTTTTAATATGAATTTTATAGATTCTTAAATTAACAACTATTTAATTAACCAATTTTTTCTAATAAAAATAAATATGTCTGTCATTTTTACTAGTGGGAAGAAAGCTTCAGAAATTGTAGGTAGTACAAGCTCTCCTTTACCAAAAACACGAAGGGCTCAGTAAGTTGATTTGAACTTTTTCTCTGAATTTAAATAAATCCATGTATTTGTTAGTATATACATATATATATATATATATATAAAGTTTATTTAGATTACCATTGTGAAGGTATTTTGTCTAATTTTGAATTCTATTATAACATACTTTTCTCAGCAATCTATTAATGATTCATATTCGATTCAATGTATTAAGTACTAAGGTACTAGATTGATAGAATGCAGGTATTTAGTTTGTTTTATTCATAAATTATATCCAAAGTAAATACATGATGAATACTTGTTTCAATGGGAGATTATAGTTGACTATTTAAATTCATAAATAGCAATTTCTTTGATTTTCCACGGATTGAAATCATGAGTCAGTTGAAGCTAGACCACCATTGAAAACCTAGAAGCACTGGACGGCCGTTTCGTCACAGTATGGGACTCCTCAGCAGTGCGCATCCACGATTCCGCGCCACGTGGGGCTCGAACCCAGAACCGCGCGAGAGCACTTAACCACTAGACCACTGAGCCGGCATCCAACGGTGTTAACGTCTAACTTCAACCAATCCACGAAGTTGCGCCACCGTACACCATTGTCTTCAGTGAGTTGTTATCTCACAACAGACCTGGTTGAACTCCACTGGTAACGGCTTCTCACTTCATTGATTTTTTTCTTAATAATATACGATTAGTTAATGAAAGAAAGAATCAGATTAGTCAGTTATCGAGAATTTTTATATAAAATCTACTACCTTTTTTTTTTACTTCGGGATACTTTATTCACTCTTCGTACTTCTTTAATTGATCCAGAATTTCTTTTTAGTTTTACAGGAATATTATTAATAATGGATTTGATATAACTAATAAAACTCCAAAATATCACTGGTGTTTTTCAGAATTTTTTTATCTGTTGTTACCTCCTCAGAAAAAAAACACAGCACAACTTGAACTATTTAATACACATTTGATAAAATGAAAACATTTAATAAATACCCTTATCAGTTATGAATTTTGGGATTCATTATGATCTGAAACCAGTTGAAGAACTATTAAAAATCAGGCAGCATTAAAATCTCGGACTGTGACTCAGAGGTCATAAGGTTGAGGCCTATTGACTAGGAGTCAAGTTATTGAATTCAATCTCCTATGGAGTTGTAGATACCCACTACTGAAGAATTCTATACTA